CTTCTTTAGGGGACTCCGTCTTCTTTAGGGGACTCCGTCTTCTTTAGGGGACTCCGTCTTCTTTAGGGGACTCCGTCTTCTTTAGTTCCCCTAAAGGGGATGAAGAAGGGGTTCCCCTAAAGGGGAAGAACACACCTTTGGTTCATCCCCTTTAGGGGAACTAAAGAAGACGAACTAAAGGGGAAGAAGACGGATGACAAGGGGGGAGCCCAAAGGGGACGATGACAAGGGTTCCCCTTTAGTTCGCCTTTAGGGGAAGAAGAAGGTGACAAGCAAGGGGCCACTTAGAGGGCAGGGACGGTACTTAAAAGCTGACCTTTAAAGGACTTTGGCCTTTGTGNCCGCTTTACTGACCTTTGGGACATCCCTACAGGGCAGGTATAAATTTAATCTGTAGAAAGCTTATAAATTAATTTTGCTAATTTTTTGGCAGATTTTTCTGACAAAGAAAGGCCGCGTTCTTGATAACCATGCACCCGAACCCAACGTTGATAATCTATTTTTTTCTTTCCGAGTAAAGAAAATTTTTTAAAATAATCAATAATATTGTTTCGGCTGCTATAGGCTGTTATTTCTACACGATTATATTTTACCTTTGTATGACCGTTTGTTACTTGATTAATTTTAGTCGTTGCACCAAACAGGTCACGAATGGCAGCTAATACAGAAAGCTCACCTTTCTGGGTAATATGCATTTTTAAAAAAAAACCATATCGCTGCTCACCAGATGGTAGTTTGCCACGTCGGAAGTTATTACCTGCATTTGTGTAAAAGCAGCCATCAGCTTCAATAAAACCAGCTAACCAAGCATTATCAAGTGAAGGGGCACAATTCCAAGGTTTTATACTAATTTGCGTGTTCCAGCAGGTATTGAGTTTCTTTACCCACTCTTCAAATTGGATTTGACGTTTTTCTAATACAAGATTTCCATTAAGTAGAGCAACAAAGTTTAAAACAAATTCACGCTTCGATGTGTAATAACGCCAATATTTACGACCATCTTTGTTTATCTGTGTTATTGTCCCAAAACCTAATGTTGATCGTATTTTATGTATTAATTTTACATCATCTTGAACAATTTCGACGTAGCAAAGA